ATACCAGAATCAAGGATTATTGCCAAACTGGGCACTGTCAAAAATAAAAGGTATAACATTGGATTATATTCTACTTACAAATCATTCTCTTTTGATAATGGAAATTGTAGAAATCATGAATTCCTAGCTAAAAAAAATATGTTGTTGGAAATATAGGATAAGTTAGATGGCATTTTTAAACTTCAAATTCCACCAATTTCTTGGCCCACCATATGGCAGAGGGTTTCAGTTTTCTTAAAATGAATTAAGGTGTGAAAAAACTGTAATCTAATTTCTTTCAATATGTATGCAAGTTTGTAGAAATCCTTCTCCATTGTGGACAAACATGATTTCTTGGCATAGCAGGTATTCATGTAATGCAAATCATTGTTATGTGCTGGGAAAGTCTCTTAACACTTCTTAAATTCTTCATCATTTGGTACCACAGTGACCTACTAGGCAATTCTGTTACGTTTCAAAGGGAATAATTCTTCTCCCTCCCTGCCCCATAATAATTTTTGATGAAGCACACACCATTCAAATGGAATTATTTTGCTCAAGTATAGGTTCAACAAACTACAAAGATACAGAGAAGAGAAAAAAAAATAGCTTGGTAAAGAACCATTCATACCTTTCATACAATTGAAAATCTGTATTCCACGGGAATGGAATTCATTAAGGGAGGTATTTTCATCTGTTTCTTTCAAATTTGCAAAAAATAATCAGGCTGAATTACTATTCCAAAATCCAAACTCCACAGCTATATCTAGAAACCACTTTTAAAAATGGTTAGAAAAATTTTAAATTCAAAAATTTTAAAGATTCTTAAAAACAAGTTTCTTAGTAACAGTAAGTGAAATACAGAGTGCATTACTTTCAGCAGCAAATAAAGTGCAGTTAAAAAAAATACAGAAGGCAGAATTCTAGTTTCCAGTTCTACTTTTGCTTTGGTCAGTAAGTTTACAAATAAACCATAATGATGCTTACCTTAATTAAATTGCATGCTGTTTGTGCAAGGCTGTTTAACCCAAATTTATTGTGAATTGAAAATACTCATTGAATAACATTGAAGAACACAGGTAAGCTCCTGTGGTCTGTAACTACTTTGTGAAGTAGATTTTATCCAGTTCTGATACTTCAAAAGTCTGAACGTATAAATATTCAGGTCCCAAAAAGACAAAGAAGTGTGCCTGCCTATTGTGTTTTGCTACAGACTACAGTCTTTCCTATGCTGAAATCCTCCTTACAGACTGCTGGGAATGGAAAGGAGTCTTGAAGTGAATATTTATGCCCTGTTAATGTTAAGGTCTCATTATGCTGTTAATTGTAACTACAAATCATTGATTTTAGCATTAAACACACACCTAAGTAAGTCTATGCAAAACTGGGGTTGCATTTGCTCTATCTTGTACCTGTTTTGAATTTGTTTGGAACAAGCTCTTTGCCATTAAGCAAACTAATATTTCACATTAAATTAAATGTGTATGAAAAGCTTTCATGATATAAAGAATGCATATAGCACATTCCATTTTTTGTGCCATTTCAAAACAAGTCACTGGTTCTTCTAAGGTAGCTTCTCAAAGTCCAGAATACCATATTTGGGTATTTCTGATGTTTCATTGCTCATTTTTGTACATCGCTGTTGAAAAATTGCTTTTGCACTTTCACGTACTGTGAGTTTACTGGTTTTCTGTCTTGCATTTCTTAACACTGGCCTCATGATATCCTATACAATCATCATAAATATAAAATTAGAACACCTTAAGTCTTTAAAATGAGCAAGACTTTCCTGTTCAAGTCATTGTTTTATGTATTCCATTTCCAAATAAAAGACTTGGCATACAGGATAAAGAGTTACCTTTTGTTTCTGGAAAGAAAAGTGGTAAAAGATCTGTAAGTAGTAACTTTACAGATACTGAATTACATGTTTTAACTTTCTGGTTGTAATCAGCTAAAAATGTGGTTCTGTATGTGGACAGCTCATGCTGGATAATCGATATCTAGAATCTGTTTAAGTGTCCCAAGAGTAATTTAAAAACTTCCTCACTTCTAATGGGATTTACTGTTGTAAGCAACTAGGTGACCATCTCACATTCTCCTCTTCATTAGACTTGTAATGGCTGTGGAAATTAAAAGATGACTGTGATTTGGGGTTGGGGTGTTTTAGAATTAATTGAGAAAACCATCATATGCTTCTGGAAGCTGCTCTTGCCCAAGACTCAGCACTGCAGTCCTCATTCTCTAAGGACATAAGTGACAAAAGGCAACTGCCTGGACTCTGTGGGTGTAGGTGGCCCATGGCACAGTGCCTTTGAGCTGTGACAGAGATTGTGCTCTCTTCCTGCACAGCTCTTCGCTTCTATACCCTGCTGCTTCCTGCTTATAATTTCCTGTTGCTGTTCTCCAGGAGGTGACCTTCCACCCTTGGGACTCTTTGCCCAGGAGCCAAACTGGTTTAAACGGGTTTACAAAACAGCAGCAGCACAGGTGGGTTTTTCTTACCAGCAGAGCTCAAGAAGTCTGCTCTGCTGTGCTTCTGTCCCTCTGGAGCAGGGGCTGTGGATACTGCTAAGCTGCAGCCTTAGCACCAGTACATGTTCCCTTTTAAATGACACTCCAGTAACTCAGCTACAGCACCTACAGCTGAGCAACAGAAGCATTAAGAAATAATTCTGTAGTTTGTCTGCAATCACCATGCTTTCCAGTTTTTTCCTTCAGAAGATAAATCTCATCTTGAAGAAGTGAAATGTGGCAATTTATTGGTAATGGTGGTACCCTTTACATTACAGCTTTCAGCTTTTCCTTATAGTACAATCTAAAACGGGGGAAGGGACTTCGGGAGGCTGCCCACTACCAGCACAACCTCTTATACTCTAACAATGCTAATGCTTATGCTTTTCTGACAGTCCTGTAAAGCCATCTGAGTGAATAAATGTAACTATAGGTATTGAGAAATGGAGCCAGAAAGAGCTCAGCCTCCCCACATGCCCAATGACAGTCTCTAAATGTTCCCCCTCTCCCACTAACAGAAGTTTGGTCCTGTGTGAGGACTGATGTACTTTTCCAGTGGTTACAGGAATATAGAAAAAAAGCATTAGGCTGTTGGCATCAAAGGAAGGCAATGGGTATGGTGAAGGGGACTGGAGGAGAAGCTTTATAAGGAGCAGCTTGGGCTGTTCAGCCTGGAGAAGAGGAGACTGAGGGGAGACTTCATGGCAGTCCAAAACTTCCTTGTGAGGGGAAAGGTTCTGATCACTTCACTGTCACAAACAGTGATATGACTTGAGTAAACAGAGTGAAGCTGAGTCAAGAGAGGTTTAGGTTGGCTATCAAGAAAAAGTGTTTCACCCAGAGAGCGGCTGGCACTGGAACAGGTTCCCCAGGGAAGTGGTCACAGCACCAGTGTAATAGAGTTCAAGTGTTTGGACAATGGTCTTGGGCACATGGTGTCAATCTTAGGAATGGTGCTGGGTAGCGCCAGGAGTTGGGCTTGGTCATCCTGATGGGTCCTGTCCAACTCAACATACTCTATTATTCTATTTAAGAATTTTCTCTTAGTATGAATGGAGAACTGTGTTGTGTCCTTTTTAAGGGTACTGGAGCTAATCAGTTTGCTTCAGCTTTTTCTTTAAACCATTTGTTTCTGATTGCTCCTTTTTATAGTGGGTCCCTTAAAATCCTGGTTTCATTGGTTTTTTTTTAATTATTCTTTTTAGAACCATCCCCCCCCCGCCTTCATCAGAAGGAGCAAAATAGATTCAAAAGGCACCTTCAACACTGGGCCAACATGCCTGCCTATGTTTGGTTAAAAGAGTAGGATATCTTCTCCCCTGGTGCCTACAGCTTAGTGGTACTGTGTCCTTTTAGTTCTTGCCATATGATACCCATAATACGTCTTGCAAATAGTTTTGAATATATGTATGTAATTGGGTGTAGTTGCCTCTCAGTTTCTGTCCCCTAAGGTTCTCTTTTTTCCTCTACAGCTCCACAATCCATATTAAGAGAGAGGTCTGATGGTTGCCTTTAGGGTGATTTGTCCTCCTTCTATTTCTTGCACACCTGCAAAGACTTGTGGACTATCTTACTCTTATTTCGGACTTTGAAAAGTTGACTCTGAACATTTTTACCAGGCATTATTTTCCTGTAGCAGTCTCTAGCCCCGGTTAGTCTTTGTCAAGCAGCCTAAAGCCAGGTAGGTGTTTCACTGGTGTGGTTCATCTGCATGCTTTGGTCCTGCTAATCACAAGCCAAATGTAACCAGGGAGCAATGGGGAATGAAAAATGACAGTTTTCCCCACTCATGAGATATTATAGAAGAGGGGGTTAGAATGGGTCTCTCCCTGAGCACCTTCTCTCCCACCCCCCAATCTCCCCTCAACTTTTTAGGCTGTGAAACTATATGATATGGAATATCCCTTGGGTCAGTTAGGGTCAGCTTTCCCAGCTGTGCCATCTCCCAAATTCCTGTGCACCCCAGCCTCACTGGTGGACTGGTGAAGGGAGTAGAAAATGCTTTGACACTGTAAACATTTCTAAGCAGTAACAAAAACATCTCTGTGTTTTCAAGACACTTTCTAGCACAAATTCAAAACATAATAACCAGTATGACCATATTTAACTCTACCCCAGCCAAAATGAGCACATGGAAAATTAATTTCCTCTCAAACTCACTAGTACTGAAAGGGAGTGTGAAACCTGAGGAAGAATGTGTCTGAGGAAGAGCCAAATGTGATACCCTTGGGCATCGCTGGCTGCCAGCCAAGAGGCTGAGAAAAGGATAAAAGAGCTTGGAGAGGAAATACTGGGACTTATGTGTGAAAAGCAGCACTGAGCATTTATTAAATAGAATAGAAAAGTTCAGTGTTTAATGGGCACAAAGTATGTCTGATGCAATTAAGACCTGACTTTGAGGAGGCAAATGTGGGAGAAAAGGAAGGGCTGAACATATGTTTTAAGGAGCAATAGGCAAGTAGGGAGAAGCTGAATCAAACAGTAAGTCTGGGGCTGGTGTTAGAAGACTGATGGCATTCAGGGACCATCACAGTGAGAGATACACAGTGGCCTGGGAAAAACATTTAAGAGGTGAAGGGACCACTGCAGCTTTGAGGGAGAATTCCAGTCCAGAGGATCATGGTGAACAGACATGGGAAGAGCCAGACCCATATAAGTCTGGTAATTGCGATGATAGTGCTAGAAATGGCTTGTTTCTCCACACCACATTCCCTCTGCACAGGGCAAGCCAGAGAACCAAATGACATCTCCATTTACCAAGACCACTGGAAAGAAAACAAAGATTGCAGATGCAAGCCAACAAAGAGAGCAAGTCACTGTCACAACAGGCTTCAGTCCACAGCAGATAAAAGACATGACACATGACGGATGCTGTAAAAAAGGATTACACTGAGCAGCTGGTTAAGTTGAAGGGATGTCCTTGATTAAAGGCACGTGACTGTATGATCCGTCTCAAGCAATAGCCTCAGGTGAGACTGGCACCAAGATCAGCCACACTGGCTGAAGATCTCCTAGTCAGTGATGACTCAGACTGTTGGATGTGATGGGCCAAACAGGGGTCTTACTCTGACAAATTGTACTGGGTTTGGCAAGGACAGAGTTACCTTTCTATAAAGCAATCTGTTTGTGTTCTGCTTTGGGTCTGTGACTAACAGAAAACACACCCACGTCTTGGTATTGCTAAGCAGCGCTTGGGCAGCATCAGGATTTATTTTCCCCACTCTGCCTCCACCATGAGCAGACTGGGGTGGGCAAGAAAGTGGGAGTGGAAACAGCTGGGACACCTGACCTGAATTGACCAAAGGAATGTCCCCTTGTATAATGTCATCAGCAGATGTAATGTTGACTCCTCCAATGGGCCATAGTTATCCACGTGTCTACCAAATCCATTCTCTACTACAGGTTAGTCAACTTTCACAGCTGAGTCCTCAGATTTCCTGCTAGGTAGTCCCCATGATATCCTTTGGGATTCTTGATGTTAGATTACATATTTTCATAGCTTGTGATATAGAAACTTTCTGGCTTGACATGGGTAATGACTGAGTTCCTTTAAACTCACTGCTGATTAGCATCTAATTATAGAGACTCACTGATTTTTGAAAATTTCTTTCCTCTTGAAACAATAAAATTCACAGTACTCAAGCTTGAGACTGTTCATGCTGTGTGAGAAGATTTGACACAGGAGCCAGCCTCAAGTTCCTCACTATTGCCACAATTGTCCTAAGTGTTCCTTCTCTATTTTTTCACTATAGACTTCCTGGCAAGCTGTTCCACTTCTGATGTTTCATGTTTCTTTTAAGTTTTGAGAAGTTATTCATCAAACTAATCTGATATTGTTTGATTTGTTTTTCACTTTTCTATTTGAACACAGCTTCAGGTTTTTGAAAGACCCCTTATTTCTTCATCTTGTGACATTTCTTGTAAGAGTTTCCTTTACCCTTTTCAAATGGAGCTTTGAAAATAGAGGCACATTTGTAGAAAGCTTGCTTCTTTAAATGGCCATTACTGAAGTTGGATAAAATCTCAAATATAACATCTCATTTTCTTTCACTTTGTTGCTTGACCATAAAAACAGCATTTAATTTTTATCTTTCCATTATCATCTTCCATTCCCAGGGTAACTCCCTTTCACTGAAACTGGTTCTAAAGCATGGTGTGGGTGAGGTATGCCTTGAAGCATAAAATTTTTTGAGGAGAACAGTGACCCCATTATTTGTCCAGATCTGGGATCCCAGTAAAAGAGAGATATGATATATTGTAGTGAGCACAGAGAACTTTCCACTAAGGGTCACTAAAGTGATTAGGAAGTGGGACAATCTGACATATGAGGAGATTGTGAGACAGCTGGGATTTTTTAGCCCAAGGCAGAAGGGCTCAGTGGGGATCATATCAAAGTGAATAAATACAAGATGGGTTCAAACTTTTCTCAGTGGTGATCCAATATCAGGATAAGAGGCAGCTGGCACAAATTAAAATAGAAGAAATCCTATTTAAACATGATTGATTTTTTTTTTTTTTTTTTTAAGTGATAAAGCAGTGGAGCAGGTTGCCCATTGAGGTTGTGGAGTCTCCATCCCTGAGGGTATTAAAGCCTGATTTGGCATGGTACTTGGCAATCTGGTCTAAGTGACCCAGCTTTGAGCAGCAGAGTGGACTAGACACCTCTATAGAGCTCTTTCAGCCTCATCTATGTATCTATTCTATCTTTCAGCCTATTCTATGTATCTGTGATTCTATTATTTTCTTTATTCATCCTGCCACCCCTCCAAAAAAAAACCCAAAAGCCAAAAAAAGCAACCTTCTTCTTCTCCCATGTTATTTCATTCCCCCTCTCCCTCCTGAAGTGTCTCCCTAGCCCAATGGTAGACATACAGAAAAACACGTGGTACCTGTGAAAAAAAAGAGGAAAAAGCCCCTGTTAGCTTGGCTGCAGCAGCCCTCTCCCCCTGCTATGGTCATTGCCACCAAGCAGGCATCAGGAAGAGGCACAGGCTGGGACCTGCCAGCAGCTGGTAGAGATTAATTAACCTCCTTTTCCTCTTACTTCCTGAACAAATTTCTCACAGGAAATGGTGAACCATGTGTTTGCCACAGGCAACATTCTGCCTTAAAGGTGCTGTCACCTTTGGAGTGACAGGCAAACGGGGGGAAACACATGTCAAATAGATCCTTCAGGGGTTGGACCAAGGGCATCAGCTTTATCCGTACCCTAGGTGGAGATGCTGATGGATTCAGACTGTCTACAAATCCCCTGCCTCTCAGCATGCAGTGGCAGTGCAGTATTTCAGCTACAGCCCCACTGAGGTCCCATGAAGCCTGGTGTTATTGCTCTTGCCTTGGGAATGCTGGCCGGTGCCTATTTCTGTTAAGGGCTGAAAGAGTCTGGCAAGCAGGCAGTGCTGAACTGGAAGTGATGTAGGAATGCCTCAACTTGTAGGTCACAAGGTGCCAGGGAGCTGACTCCTCAGCCATGCTGATGTTACGAGATGAGCTGCTTTGCTCCCAGGAAGAAATTCATTGTTAGAGTAGGAAAGGAGGCCAGTCCTCCTTGAGCAGTGGGACGCTGACCTCACTCCCTAGTCTGTAGAGACTTCACTTGAGGAATGGAAGGTACACATTGCTCTGTCTCAGAAGACCCATAATTTCTACACGTCTGTCCCTGCCACTGGTGAGAGCTACTCACTGCATGGCACCACCATGACCAGGGACAAGACTGTCCATGACCATGGGGACACTAACATCTCCTCAGTGACACCCCTGAAAAAAATAACCTTCTTCACACTGGGATTTGTTGGATGAGTCCTCTCAATCTTTGGGAAGGAGAGAACTCTGTAATATTTCTGCAGGACACTCACAGCAACCTATCTGTGAAGCCTGGGTAGAAGACAGTCACCTCAGCCTCCATGGCAGAATGCTAAGTCCATCTTGCCCAAACATTTACTCAGAAGTCCTGGGTTCATTGAATTCATTCATGACGTGTCATGCCACATTTCCTTGCAAAGGTTTTTTGGAAATTCAAGTAGCATATATCAACCAGATGACCATAATGTTCATGTCTTTCCAACACTTGATAGAACTCAGGGGCAGGACTCCTTATGGGGACAGTGTTGGCTGAGCAATTTGTATTTCTCCCTGCATCCCCTAATCCTGTTACTGCACAGATATTTCACATATATTGTCATTGCCCATGGCAAGGGGGTTGAGACTAGACGACCTTTGAAGTCCATTCAAACCCAAACCATGCTATAATTTGAGGATTACTACTTATTCACCTGGAACACACATGCCTAGATACCTGTATTTCTCCAGGACTCTGCTGAAATCCCTTTCACAGTCTGGTATCAAGTTTTCTATCATGAAGTCTTCAGATACTTAGGCAAATTTGGAGTAGGATGTTTCACACTACCCCAAGTGATTGGCTTCTTCATTCATGAGTTTGATGAAAAAAAAAAAACAGGGCGGAGCCACTTCGGTATTTTTAGGGTTTGGTGTATTAATCTCCACCATAATCTCTTCTACGGCTGCTCTTATTTCAGACAGACCCTCAACGGAGTGCCGATCCTGAGGAAAAACATCGTTCCTCGCAGAGGAGTCTTCCCTCTGTTT